AGCGGGGGAGGGAGGGGGAGGGAAGGGAGGGAGAGGGGAGGCAGGACAGGGCCGGAAAAGAGGAAACCAGGGAGGGAAGGGAGGAAGAAAGAAAGGGGGAAAGAGTGCGGAGGAGGGAGAGAGAAGGAGATGAGGTAAGGAGGGGGAGGGAATGTGAGGGAAAGGGCAGGGAACAGGGACACAGGGAGGGAAAGGAGAAAGGAAAAATGGAGAGAGGGAGAAAGGAGGGAAGGAGGGGAAGGAGGGAGGGTTACTGAGGAGGGAAAGCAAGGGAGAGCGGAAAGAGAGGAAGGGACAGGAAGGAGACGAGGAAGGGGAGGGAAGGAGACGAGGAAGGAAGGGAGGTGGGGCGGAGAGGGGGAGGGAAAGCAAGTAAGAAGGGAAAGAAAGGTAAGGGAATGGAGGGAAGGTGGAAGGAGGCACAAAAAAAAGGGATCAGGGAAGGTGGGAGGGGAGGAGCGATTGACCAGTAGGGTAATAAAAATGCAGAACGAGAGAGAAAGATAAAATTTACCTGTCGCAGCACCCTCAAGCTCAGGGACTGGGACAACCTCAACAGCATTTGGACTTTTCATCAGACTCCCTGCTGCAGCCATCCAAGCTATGCCACCCCCAGGATGCGTGGGTGCAATGGCAGAGGCATGATTCTGTGGTGGCACCTTTTCCTGCGACAGGTAGGCGATTCCTCGGCTGAGCTTAATGTTTCCAGTCACTTCTGGCTCTAGAAGACAGCCATTAACACGCATCTGACTGTCAACCTGGCCACTGCACGTTTGCCAAGCAGAGCCCCAACATTAAAAAATCAGCACGCTAAACCAAATGATGGAGACTGAACTGGGATCCACTTCCTGTTGAACTGAGGCCCAGAACCTGACCCAGCTGAGTGAGTTTTCTGCAATCATTGTTTTTTCTGCTTCACAGGTTTCGATACAGTAAGTCTCCGTTTATCTAGGATACTTCTTGGGTAGAAAATTAGACATAGGCAGGCCCGATAGGCTCGAAGTAGGCTTGGTCAGTGGAGCTTACCTGGCTATGGCGGTTCGCATCTTCGTCTTCTTGGTTGGCACTGCACCGCGAAGGCCCCAGTTGGGACGGAAGACTCCGGGGGTAGTGCTAGGCATGGCAGCCATAGTAGGAGGGACATAGAAGCTTTGCATTGTCTTTCGGACATGCCAGCTCCACTCCGATAGTCCACCATAGACACCTGCCCGACTACGTAGGAGGAAGATGTATGAGCTGGCCATGGTGAACCCATAGCCACCTGCCCGACTACGTAGGAGGAAGATGTATGAGCTGGCCATGGTGAACCCCTCAAGTTGCTGGCAGTAAGGGAAGGATTTGGACATTGGTTCTGGGTCATTCTTCCATTGTTATTAGTACTATTACTGTCACTGATGAGTTGGGGATGGAAATGGAGGCAAGATGAAGGGGAATTGACAATGGTCCTTGTCTTCTTCTTCTTCTTCCATTCTTATTTCATCTTTGACCTCTGTCTATTTCTCTTTCCAAGTTCTTTCATTTCAGTTGCAAATTGCAATTGAATAACATTGTCTTTCTTTGAGTCGTTGCGCTGCAAGATAGCCAGGATCGTAACAATACGCAGGTTGCTGATGGAAAGAAGGCTCAATGAAGGCTCTCAAAATAGAAGGGTACTCCCAAAGGTAGGACGGTTCTCGAAAGAATACAAAAGGAAAAGAGTAATGAAAGAATGACGCTATCGAACACCACTGCATTTCATCTGGGCTGACCTAATCCTGTGTAAGAATAACATGGAAAGGCCAACCTGCATCTTAGTTAGTCAGCTAGTTGAATTACCAATTGAACATGACAATGTGTAGCGTAGCGCATCTGTTTTGGGTGCAGAGGGTCATAGGTTCAGATCCCGTCTCACCTTGAGTCAAAATCAGAGTAAATTGACATGAAAATCAATGGACCCTTATCACCTCATATTACTATTTATAAGCCACAATTAACTTCAACCAAGCATAATGAGAGACAGCTCAACCACCAGTGGTTGCGGAAAATGGCCCCAAAGCCCACAAAATACGGTGATGGCTATGCGCCACCATGAAATCCAGTAACAAATACTACCTTCTTTCCCCGAATACAACGTACGGTCATTATAGCTGTATTTTTGAAGCATCTTTCAGTCTAGATACAGCTATAATGACCGTACGTTGTATTCGGGGGAAGAAGGTAGCAATGGCATTCGTGCATATATGCATGTGCGTTTCCTTCGTCTTTTTTGTTTTTTTGACGAGTTGGACAACAGAAAAAAAAATGAAAAAGAGGTGGTGGTTTCTACATCGGCTCACCTGAACACGTTCCGTGCTCTGACTTCAAGGGCATCCGCTCTTATATTTATACCTTCCCCCTTCATGGCCTTTGGGTGCTGATAACCGTCCCCGCCTGCAGGGCCCCAAAGAAGTGGCAAGCTTCCCTTCATCTGTAAGTACCCTCTCCGCCCAACACGTCCTTCCATGGAATCAACAAACACATGGCTTTTCTCAATGCGCACTGTTCCACCAAGATTGGAAAGAGGTCGAGGAAGTACAGGTGATGAGATGATCACGCGACTAAATGATGCCATACCATCCACAATAGGATGGCTCATCATACCACGGACCTGCATGGAAAAGATCAATTGTCCGCCAAGTCTTATAAGCATGCATGCATCAAACTTGACACCACACGAAACCGTAAAGCCACTGGCTAGTTACCGCAACGACTACGTGCACCTTCGACTCTGCATTGTCTACAATAATGTGTCTACTCTGCTGCTTGTTCATGAAAATTGGAAGAGCTGCCAGCCTGTTGTCATAACTCACAAATGCTGTTGATACTACCATCTAACGCCAAACCTTCACCGCTCACGTTTCAAGCGCCTCCATGAGTGCATGCGTCATTCTGGACCACAAACCATGACTCATAAACAGAGACAACCACCTTCGATTTAAATTAACTTTCACACTAGGCTACCAGCCGGGCTGCCGGGGTCACCTTGTTTTCCCGGGAGGTCCAGCCATGCAAGGACCAGGGAAGATCCCAGCAAAAAAAGGAAAAAAAAAAAAAAAATGATAAAAATGATAAAAAATCCCAATTTTTTTTTCAAAAAAAAAAACTATGTTATGCAGAAAAATAAACTGAACAACAATTATGCATATTCGTCTAGTTATCATACACGCACTCACATACATCCTCTCTCACTTACACAGGCATTTGCAATATATACTACGACTCTACGACCTATCTATCTAGTTACGACGCATGGGCACTCACTTTCACAAGCCAATGGCCCTTTTCCCACGGAACCTCCACCACGCCAGGGCACTCGTATACGAGAACCAGTTGAACTACGCATGGCAACAGTGCATATGGCCTCAACTGCCGTACAGCATGTCCTCGCACGATGGTATGGCAAGGGAACCCTTACATATCGCATCCCTTCTCTCAGTTAAATACAATGATTAACCTGCAGTAAATGGGTCTGACACTTTTGAGGGAAAAAGCAATGTTTACCTTCAGTGTGGCAGCAGCTGTACCCTGTAGCCACCTTATCTGCGGAGACACAGCCGTCAGGAGCATCATCCCCCCATCCTTCACAGCAACGTCAATTTCAAGTTCACCTTTTTCAAATCCTTCCCTGTCCAACTTCCTCAAGCATTCCATCAACCGGCTGCCCCTTTCCTCCTCATTGATCTCACTGCCTTCTTCATCCTCATTTGCACTCTCCCGCTTCTTTTCCCGCTCCCGCTCCTTTTCTCGTTCCCTCTCCCTTACCTTTTCTCTGTCCCTCTGTTCTTCCCTTTTCCGATCCCTTTCCCTTTCCCTCCCACCATCCTCCCACTCTTCCTCCTCCTCACCCCCATTGCTTTCCTCCACTCTTAGAGGTACACTCCCTCCGGCCCGAACATAACCCCCATCCAGTGCTGGCTTCAAAATAGCGTAAAATGCCAGTCGGTTTGTGGAAGTTATGGATGCAGCAACCTCAGCACGCCCTAGGTTGATGCCGCCAATAGATCCATCATGCAGCCGAATCACCACCTCACACTGGGGCTTTCGAAGTGAGCCACTGAGCTCTCCTTCCATATGCAGAATGCCTTTCATCGGAAGGGAGCGTGGGGCAGATGAAGGTGGGGTAGGAATCGACTCTGGAGATGAAGACTTCACAGCATGCAGCAACGGGGGCACCAGATCGACAGGGAAGTTGAGCACAGCAAACTGAAGGTTTGGTTTTGGACCAAATAGTATCCCATCTGCATGCAGAGTTGCATCCTCCTTCTTTATTAGAAGTTTCTCAAGAGTAAGCCCCTCATCGCACTTATATCCGCCAACAGCTGTCACCATGTCCATCTTGTACGTGCCCCATTCCCAGTGCTCACCACTCAAATTGAAATCAGCCTGCAAGTCAGCAAAATCGAAGATCAGCAAGTCAGAGAATTGAATTCACCTTAGCGGACTGCCAGGCATCTGGCAATTGATGCTCAACACTTTCTGTGTGGGCCTGCAAGCCAGGCTTATAGACATGATAAACCATGGATCCCTGGAATGCCCAAAACAAAGAAGCCTTTACCCAGACATACTTGAATGTAGTTCATTCCCCCTCCCCCTCCAACCCCCATCAAAGCAAAACACCCTTTCACAGTAGCCACTTCTGTTATGGGGGCCCACAGTCAGTCCTTTTCCACTGGCAAGCCAAGTACCATACTGAAATATGTCACTGCATACACACTTCGCTGTCATGGCCAGGGGTTTCCACATCCATCACAAAGTACTCTCCTGGCAGTCTGCCCTGCCTCTGTTGTCTGACATAAGCCATTCCTTAAGACTCCAACTTTGCTTTCCTTCTCGTTTCCAGGCCACCGGCGAAAGTTATCAGTCTGACTAAGGTATGCGTAGATGACTGAGGTATGCGTAGATATCAGTCTCTAAGCAAGTTCATGTCTGTTCTCAGTTTGTAAAGTTATCAATATGCTATTATGCTCTCAAAGAGCTTCCAGCTGAGGTGGAGGGACTGTTGGCCTAAGGAGGGATTTGAACCCACTGCCTGGCCCAAGCCCGGGAAAGTATCAGGTATTTCTGTTTTCGACATTATTTGTGTTTTGCTGCTGACCAGATGTGAACCTGGGACCTACCGTCCTGAGCCCCTGCTAGCTGACCCCAGACAGACTCATAGGAGCTGGGCTCTTAGATTCTTCTAGACTAGAGCCCAGAACGACCCACTTAGGCCCAGGCAAAAACTCTAAGACAACTTCGGTACCCTGTGTGTCTTTTTAACGGGGAACGGGGGAATTAAACTCCCGTTGAATCCCGTTGAAACTGAGAAAATCCCATTGAATTCCCGTTAAAGTTTAAACACAAAAACGGGACGCTGAATTAAAATCCCGTTGAATTCTCCTCCTCCTCCACCTACTTTCGTCTTCTCCTCCTCCTCCTTCATCATGTAGGAATAGAGGAAATTCTAGCAGACTATATTCACCATGAAGTAACACGAAATTTTATTTTTCTTTTTTTGAGAGTGTTTGTTTTAATAATCATCAAATATGTATTTGTTTTGTTTGTTTTGGTGTCATCTTATATCCACTAATGAATCAAATCAATGTGGAAAAGAAGTCGCCCATCGTCCTTTTTTTTTTTGGTCATCCCCATACACTACCGGCAGGTCCTCCTCCTCCTCTCGTCTTCTTCTTCTTCTCTCCTCCTCCTCCTCCTCCTCCTCCTTTCATCTTCTCCTTCTCTCCTCCTCCCCCTCCTCCTCCTTTCGTCTTATCCTTCTCCCCTCCTCCTCCTCCTCCTTTCGTCTGTTCGTTTTTCAGGTCTCTATCTTTTTCTCCTCCTTTCCTCTCCTCCTTCCTCCCCTCCTCCTCCACCTCTCGTCTTCTTCTTTTTCTTTGTCACCTCCTCCACCTCCTCCTTTCATCTTCTTCTTCTTCCTCCTCCTCTTACTCCTCCTTGTTCTTCCCTCCTCCTCCTCCTCCTCCTTTCGTCTGTTTCGTTTTTGAACTCTCCATCTGTTTTCTCCTCCTCTCCTCCTCCTCCTTCCCTCCTCTTTGTCTTCCTCCTCTCCTCCTCTTTTCGTCTTCTTCTTCCCTCCTCGTCCTCCTCCTCCTCCTCCATATCTTACCGCCCACCATCTGGCATATCCGCCAGCCATATTGTACGCCCGCCATATCGTACTGGCCGCTATCTCCCGCTCATTTTTTTTTCCTTTCCCTGCCCATATTGTACGGGGAGACAGCTTCTTCTTCTTCTTCCCTCCTTCTTCCCCCCTTCTTCTTCTTCCCTCCTCCTTCCCTTCTCTTTCCTCTTCTACTTCTTCTTCTTCTCCTCCTCCTCCTATTTCTCCTCCTCCTCCTTCTTCTTCTTCTTCCAATATTTTTACCCTCTTTTTCCCCTCGCTGATGGTCCTTGCATCCTCTACTTCCATGACACTATGGCGGGCGGTGGCAGCGGCGTGGTGGGGGGAGTGGCGGGTCTGGAAGGACGAGAGGCAAAACGGCAGCAGACAGAGGAAAAGGAAATGTTGCAAGCACCTCCACTGCAACACACCCTTTTAAAAACCTTGTCAACCCCCCCCCCCCCCCTTCCCCCTCCCCTCAAACTCCTCCCCCCCCCACCGCGCCCCCAACACACGTCTTCCACAAGTTTCTCTGCGGATTTGGGCTCCTCTCAGCGAGCGCAGTCCAACCCCATCGTCAAAGAAATTTTTTGGCTAGTCTGGTTTTGCCGGACAGATCCCCACCGTCCGTCTGGACCGGGCATCGACCTAACCCAGCTTTTTATTACTTCGTTTTTTCTGTCGGGGTCAGTGGGGAGCTTTTTCAGTTGTTTTTTCCAGAGGGCATGGATTTCAGTTTCTACTGTTGTTTGATGATGATGAGCGGGTTCTCTGGGATGGTGAGTCGGCCATCGAAGGTGCTGTCGCATCTGTTTTTCCAAATAACCCATAGGGTGCTTTTCTTGATTTGGGAGGAGAGGAAGGCTTCAAAGTTCAAAGCCTTTGACCGGGGGTGATTGTTTGAGGCCGAGGAATAGTGCGGCGGGGTTGATTAGAAGGGGAGAGTCTGAGATTTTATACCATGATGATTCTAGAGCTTGCCAGAGAGCTCTGGCCTTTGGGCAATCCATGAAACAATGGTTCAGGGATTCAGGAGTATCGAGGCTGCATACCTTGCACCAGGAGTCCTGTTCCGTTCTGTTTTCGTGATTGCGTCTGTTGGCCAACCATTGGTTTACTGGGACTGCTCTGAAGGCTATTAGCCATCTCAGGCTGGCAAACTTAACCGTTATTGTGGAGATCAATGTAGCCCAGGGAAGTTTGAAGTGGGTGTTGGCTAGTTGTGGTTCCTCCTTTGTCCACCTATTGCATACTGTGTTGGATATTGATATGGATTTGGTGAATAGTTGATAACCTAGTTTAGGTGTGTAGTCAGTTAACCTGCTTAGGTTTGAGGTGAGGGTGGAACAAGACGAGGAGTTCCATGTCAATTCCGTTGGATCGATATCCAGGATACAAACGCTAATGTGCGGTTTATACACTCTTTTTCTTTCTCCTTCTATGATTTTGATTCGGGTTGTTGTTTTCGAATGCTCCTTTTACTCCGCTTTTTATATTGATGTAACTTACCGGGTTTCCTGGTTCCTCTAAGGTGTATATGTTGCAGCATATCCAACTATTGTTGTGGGGTTCGTAGTTCTTGAATGAAAGGACTTCCTGGATTGGTTGGTATGCTTCAGTAGTTTAAATTCCCCATCACATCAATTTTCTTTCGTGTTGAGTGTGTTGACAAAGAAGAAAGTTAATCCAATTCAGGACATTCCTCTGAATATGAACAACACAAGTTACACAACACGCCATCACCCCTTACCGTTGTGTCACCATTCCCTCCACCACTTGCTTCCAATGTTCCACGCCATCGTCCCTTCAATTCTGCTAGCCCAGGCAGAGGGATTGGCTCTGTTGATTCATCAGGTTGATTGTAGACCTTGGATTTCTGAACATGCTGGCAAAATCAGAAGACAGAGTACCAACCAACAAAAATGAGCTTGACCGCAGAAGCAGGAAAGGTAAGGAGCGTTCTTTCAATGAAAACAAGCAAGTTGGAACCTCCGCGGCTTTGCAGACAGCGCCGCGTCTATAGCCGCAAGCAGAACAAAAGAAGGACGAACACAAGGCAGAAAATAAAATATACACAGTTTTGCTCGTTGTCCCTCGTGTACGAGTGCCACCTCCGACCTCTCCTGCTCAATGAGGAGGAGGTGGCGAAGGAGGAAGCGGAGTCAGCAGGTGGCGGAGGAAAGGAAAAACTGACAGCAATTTTTTTTTTGGTTCGTTATCCTTCATGCATGCAAGCCACCTCCTCGTCACTCCCCCTTCTCCTCCGCTACCTCCTCCTCACTCCCACTTCCAGTGCAGCACCACCTCCTCCTAACCCTTCTGCTCCGCCACTTCCTCATTTTCATCCCCTTCTCCTCCCCCACCTCCTCCTCCTACTTCCCCTCCTGCTCCAACATCCCCTCTTCCTCCTCAATCGCAACCACCACCTCCTCCTCTGCTACATCCTCCATCTCCACGATCTCCGGGGGGAGGAGGTTGCTGAGGAGGTGGAAAAAGAGAGTGACGAAGAAGGGCACGGGGCACGTTCATGCCTCATGGCTCCCTTTTTCCAACACGAGGATGCACTCCAACAAAGCTCCGATGACGAAGACCACGTGGCACACAAACAAAGCAAACAAGCAAAAGAAAAAGGTGGAAAAGCAATAGACAGAAAAGAAACGGCATAGAGCCTGCCCAATACAAAAAGCTGCAACCTGCCCTGCCTGGTATGGAAGGCCACAGCTAGCCGTCCTCCCTCTCCTCCTCCTTTCCCTGCTCCTCCCGTTTGTCATCCCACCCTCCCGCTCCTCCTCCTGGCGCTGCTCCTCTCGTCCAAGCACGCAAGAATAAAGAGTCGTCCTCCCCCTCCTCCTCCATTCCCTGCTCCTCCCGCTTGTCATTGCGCTGTCCCGATGTCCTCCGGGTCAACTCACCAAAGGTGCAAAATGAGAACAAATCTTCCGCTAGAACATGGGAAGATAAAGGCGCAGAGAGCCTAAACTCAATGGCTCGACTACGAAAGGTGAGAATGAATGTTCCGCTACAACGTGGGCAGATACAGGCTCAGAGAGCCGAAACTCACACGTGCACGAACTCTGTCCCTATGAATTCGAAGATTAATTTTAATTTAAATTACGTAAGGTTCCATTGAGACTATTTTCAAATAGTGTCTTTTTCGTAGTTCATGTGTCACACAACCTAAACTTCTCGTGCCAATAGGCAAACCATTATTGATTAAAACAACAGCATTCCTATCAAATTGTAAATAACTGCCATCTTTTTGGTATTTCTTATTATCTGTCGTGTTCGTCAGTACATGGGTCATTTTATTCGAAGACACCATTTCGGGTTTGAAGCTGCCGTGTAGTATTGGCATTTTGTTAGTTAATGTGGTTTGTTTATTTATATTTGTATTGGTGGCGGCACTGGGGAGGTAATTAACACTAACTATCCCAAAACCTGGGGACGTGTGCCACGTTTGAGTCTCTATATAGATAGGCCGAAGGCGTCCGTGCGAGATGGTCACCCATCACTCACCTCTCATGCAAATCAATTTATATATGTTTTGACAACTAGTACACTAGGCACAAAGTGCTATTGTTTTTTGAACACGCAATGGTTATTTGATAAGGTTTTTATAACTTTTTAACGATTTCATAGCTAAATCATTTTGACATTTTGGGTTTGAAGTTTCTTTGAAATCAAGAGAAGTAGACGAAGAACCTTCAGAAGACCATTGATCAAGATCAGTCAATATGTTCAGTTGATGATCAAGAGGATTGAGGACTGGCCGCACCTCAAGATGATCCTTCAAGCTCTTCGCCTTAAAACCAGCATTCTTCACTCCTTCAAAGAAAAGTTCCTGATTCACAACGAAATCACAGGAGGGTCAAAAATTAACAGAAGAACCAGGAACTGTCAAACAATTGAACTCGACATTGCCCTCGATTCAACCTTGAGTTTCAATTGTGCGGCGGCATGGCAAGTTGAATTCTATTTTGCAAAGGAGATGCAAATCCGACTGTTACAGAGAAGGATCCAGCTGGACAGTGGTGCAAACACATGCATATTGTGGCTGGGAACAAAGCAAGGAGAAGTCAGGCAGGGAGTGTAGTGTTGGATTATCTGGTGTGCAATAGTCGATGCAAATAGTTTATTTGCCAAAATAATGACACAAACAAATGGTTAGGCAAGCGCATTCAATACAAAACACCAGTGCTTTTCCACGCGCATTTCGGCAACGCTGTCAATCCTCCTGATGTAGGGAGTAATCAATGCTGGTCAGGGGTCCTTCGGCCAAACGGAAGGAAGCGTGAGGGTGTCAATGATGTAATAAATGACCTGCCGGGGGAAAAGGAACCGGACTGATGCTCCCCAGAATGGACATAGAGTCAGGACCACAAGGGCCTAATTTATTTAAAAAATAATAATAAAAATTGTGTTGATGTTTCACTGCTGCCAGACGTTTCTGATTGCTGCAGTTTCCACTACTATTCCAGACCGGTACCACCGGCTACCGTCTGCTTGGAACGTGGACACTTCCTGATCGGCCGTAATCGGCTTTTGATTCCACCGGAGTGTCTCGGAGTTTGGGACTGAGTTGCGACTGGACTGACAAACAGATCTAGGTCTACGATACTTACCGGACCTGCCATACAGACTGGGCATACGGCACCTAGCAGCTGGGACTATGGTACAGGACTGGGACCAGATTCAGGACCAGACTCAGCTGGGACTGAGTCATGCACTGGTGGCATCCATTTAAGAAACACCTCAAACATATAACCAACCACTGCAACCAGATAATAGTTCAGACCAGAAAAGCTGATTCTGGGAGACGCACAAGTGCTATCTCAGAGTGTCACTCTCCCTCCACTAGTCCATTACATTGACTAGAGTGATAAAGAGGGCTTGTGCTGTCAGTGACATGCTGAAGTCTTACAGTCTTGTTCAGGGGTAGAGCACGGAGTAGAGTGGTGGGCAACAACATGCAAATCATCACTGCGCCGCGGTGGATATGTCAAAAGACTCAAAACCCTGCCTTGGACTAAGAAAACAATTTATATATTCCAAACTGCTATGATTGTGCAGCAAGGACCTACGAGGATAATCTCCTGGGTTCGAAGAGTTGTACTGCGGGCCACCCACGCATGCTTCATCTCACGATGATAGCACACACCTTTAAACCACCACGACCTCCGACTCTCTTTTTGTCGAAGCGGATTCCCCCTGCTGCACACCAAGCTTTGCCGAAACACCAGCGCGGCGTTTCTTTTTTTTGCTTTTGGCTGGCACTGCCAGGCATTTTGGTCCAGTGGCAATGGTTATCCAAAGTCTGTGGAATGTTACATTTTCGATTATCGACGTTGCCTGGGACAGGTTGTGGTGTTTAACAAGACAGGATCAGTGCCGGGAGGAGGCATGTTAGCACCGTGAAGCATGTCATTCATGCAAGTACTGGGGTGTGCTTTCGCTGCCAACGTCCTTGTTCTAAACACGAATCCCCGGAGTGGGACCAGAAGGGATTCAGCAAAGGTGTAAAGAAAAAAAAGTTACAAAAAACAGCTGCAAGGAAAAATCATCATACACCAAAAGTGTGAATTTCGAGACGTCCATATGACATTACCTTTGACCTGATAACAACAGCAGGGTCTCTGCTCCTGGAAAGCAGACGGGCAGCAGGAAGCATCTCGGCCACCTCGGCTCGTGGCACATCCAGACGGATTCGCCATCTTCCACATGTGCTAATCCACTTGAGATGGTCAGCACCTGCCATCACCTTTGGAAAGAAGGCTGCAGTCTGATTCTCAGCGCTGGAGGATCGTGAAGTACCTGGAAGCACATACTCCCCTTGAAGCTCATAGCGACTGTTTGACTGTTCAAGCAAGCTCTTCTCAATTGTTACCTGTCAACAGAACGAAGTTCCCAAGACTGTCAAAGACAGATCGAAATGTGCTAAATAGTAAAAACTTGAAAAGGGCCAAAAGGCCCGAAACCATCATTCTCTGAAAGGCATACCTGACACAGTCAATCGTCCCGTGAAGGAGTGATCAATGCTGTTTCAGGGGCTCCTTGGTCTCGAACGGAAGGAAGCATTGGCCAATTTTTTATCATGGTTTCAGCTTGATTATGGAAAAGGAACCGAACTGCTGCTCCCCAGAATAAAACAGCGACAGGACCGCAAGGCCCTGATAAAAGAAAAAGGACCATGTTAAACTGTGATTATTTGGCTGCGACATGTAGATGGAGAAAATGTCTGATATTTTTGAGCAATTAGGAAGCGTTGTACAGTTTGTACTATTTTTTTTCATGGTTTCAGCTTGCCAATAGATTATTAATTTTTGCTTAAATGTAAGCAGCCTGTCAGTTTTAACTTTTAATGGAAACATTTTAGATAGCCCTTTTTGGACCTTGCTCCTATTCTGCGGGGCTATGTTACACCCTGTACGCGTACGCAGGGAGTACGAGTACGTACTCTGGAGTACGCGTACGTGCTCAAAAACCCGCATACGCGTACCTAAAAAAAATCAGAAAAAAAGTATGTTATGTAAAATAATAATACAAGCAACTTTTGGCTGGGAGTCATGTTGGAATATCTAACCAAATTGGATTTAAAAATCAAAAACTCTAAAAAGGTTATAAATTATTAATATTTATTATAAGTTGAAAATAAGAGTACGTACTCCCATATATGTACGGAGTACGTACTCTGAGGAGAGTACGTACTCCAACCTCGCGTACATGTATGCGGTGCAACACAGCTGCGGGGTGTCATTCGAGGTTTTTTTTTTTTTTTTTTTTTTTTTTTCAGTTCTTATCCAGTTCCTATTCCAGACTGGTACCTTTAAAATAAAAATGAAAGACGATAAGCTAATACAAATCAAAACGTCAGCAAAACCGAAAATTGCATGCCACAACAAGAGTTGCAAAGGTACAAAATGAATCCCCGGACAAAAAATCAGTTGTGTGAGTTCGGTCCTATTTCCACTACGGAAAATACTGTGACTGCACCACCAAGGGCCAGGTCAAAGTCAAAGTCAATGGCACAGTAAAACAAAAGCTCCTAGAGAGACAATATAGTTGAATGAAAAGCCAGAGAATAAGGGAAACTCACCACATCTCCGGACCAACGGAAGCCGCAATCAAGAGATTCACCATGCAGTCCACTGAATCTTGGCTTGTAAACAGAGAGACTCCCATGTCCTTTCCTTTTCAAGAAGTTCAACACGATCTCTGCCTGAAAGGCAATCAACAACATTTGCACAGTCAGTCACCTTAAGTGGATAAGAGGGATTATCTTTGCACCAATAACTCCCTCAGTTTGCTCTCGCCGCACAACTCCCGCATTCACTGATATGTCTTCAATTGTCTCTTTCCCATGCCCCTTTCAATGTATCGAGTTCGCTCTATCTTGCTGCTGGCTTCTCTCGTTGAATTGGAATGAGACCAAGCCATGCATGTCATACATTCACACAAATCTTGCAAAACGCCATACACACGTAAATTGCACACGAAGTAGTGAAACCAAAATAATCTTGGCAATGACAGCTATGACCGCTTACTCACAATGAAGGATGCGTCACTACACCGTCACACATATATTCTCTCTTTACTACTACTACTGACTCTCTCTCACACACACACACACAGAGGTCAAGTTCCCGTTCCTCTCTGAATGTCTTCCTCAAGTCTCTCTCCCTCTCAGTCTCACTCAGATATGCTATGGCGTCGAGCACCGTCAACCATCCTAATGCTGGCTGCACACTTCGCTTATCCAATGCAGTAATGCACAAAACCACAGCAGCACTTCTGTGTTGAGCACAACTGGCAATCTCATTGACATTTGGTGCTGGCGTACAGAGTCAAAGCGGAGCTTTGCCTGATCCACCCCTTGTCTACCAACTCGTCCAACCGCCTATGCAGTTCCTCTAATTCTCGCAGGGACATCCGATATACCGGGCCCTTGGGAGTTCTGCTATTCGGCTAATCTCAATATGCTGATTGATGGGTCTCTCTACTACTCCCTGGGGCTCTTCTGCTAAATCTAAACTCCTGCAGTAACTTTTGGACTTGGGGCGGCGTCTTTTCTTCTTGTTCCATGACCAGACTATCTACTCCTCCCTTCTTCCTTTCTCGCAGCCTCGGGCTAAATAGACTTGATACAACTTCTTGTTCTTCACTAAGACCCGAGAGAACACAGGCGCACTCATACAGCAAACTGACGATGTAGACCTTTAAATGGACAAATGGTGTACCTTCTTCTTGCCACCTTCTTGACTAGGCAGTCGACACTACTCTTCTCCCAGCTTTAAGTAGGCCTTCCGTGCTGTACCCCAATCAGTCCCAAGGAGTATTATCAAAAGGCGGGTCCTCTTCCACTAAGAGCATCAGGGAATCTTGTACCTTCTCTACTCCCCCTCCAACCGGAAGTAAGTTCAAGTAACCCATCACTCCTACAAATTGACTCACACTTGAAAACGGATTGTTAGCCCGGCTCCTTCCGATCTAAAACTTTCGTACCCAGATGCAACACCTTGCTTTTTAAAAATTTGGACCATTTCTTGATTTATGCATGTCATCCTTGCACAGGGGCCATGCTAATCTTTTCTGTATTGTTCCAATTTTAACAGATGTCCCGTCCCGAACGACTGATGCAACACCTTGCTAGCTTACGCAATATATGACTTCTAGTTGAACCACCAACTATCATGGCTCCTACTCTTGCACCACAAACTTCTAATCTGCGCTATTACAAACGGTCTCGTCTCCTTTTTCATCTCAGCCCACTTGCGAAGAGTAATCAGTTGCTCACATATGCCTGTAAGGGAACCGCTCATACGGACCCTACAATAAGCGGTCTTTTCTTTAAGCACGGAGTGGATGGCTGAGTCAAACTCTGCCTACACAGCCTGTGAATAAGAACGGGCAGCGCCAGTAGAAGCGGTGCCTAAGAGTCTCTCTTTCATGTACTAAGAATAGCGCTAGTCATTTGTCTACCGATGCCAAAACACGTTCATCTGAAATTACTAAGAATAGCGCTAGTCATTTGTCTACCGATGCCAAAACACGTGCATCTGAAGCTAACTGAAACGTGAGACGCGCCCTCTACTTTTGTGGAAGTGCCTTCGTTTGGGCCTACTGAATCCTACTGACCCTACTCACGAAAAATCTGCAAGCCTAAGTCCTACCCTAGGTAGTAGAGGTCCAAGGATGCTATCTGCCTGGCAGCAAAACCCGAAAATAACAACAGATTCAAAAGAATCATCAGTGTATGGTTACCTCAGATCAGGGCCAGCTGCTGGGTTTGAAGTTTGAACCCAACCTGAACCCAAAATTGTCCGTGAGGACTAGCACAATTCAAGAGCATGTGGTCTAGACAATGTGGTTCATAACGTTTTGTGACGGGGGCTCACTTGGAGCTTTCTTTAAGCCTACAGATTGTCTGTACTTGATCAGCCTTGGACCTCGTCCGTGCATGCATGGGTTGGTTTGGAGCTTTCTTTAAGCCTACAGATTGTCTGTACTTGATCAGCCTTGGACCTCGTCCGTGCATGCATGGGTTGGAACCGGCGCCCTCACCCTCAAGAGCTGAGTTTCTTAACCACTACAGCCATGACACAGTGTACAAAAGTGGATCCATGCCTGTCGTGATATCCACCCCACCTCCGCATGGCTATAGTGTCCTCCAACTCACTCTCTGACACACACACACCACACATGGCTGTAGTGTCCTCTCTCTCTCTCTCTCTCTCTCTCTCTCTCTCTCTCTCACACACACACACACACACACACACACACACACACACACACACACACACACACACACACACACACAACACCATGCTCAGGCATCCGCCACACAGGCAGTAGTCACACACTCTGCTCACATCCCGCACAACTGCTTATCCAACGGTTTTATCCACGGGCCACCACATCCAGCTATATTTCCAGGCTGATTACCCAGTTAGAGTACGGTCTGTACTTTATCAGCCTCGGACCTCCTCCATGCATGCACGCTTTCGAACCGGCACCCTCAACGTCTGGAGGCCAGTTTCTTAAAGATTGACGCCCACACACAAGGTTAAATATTTAAGGAAAACCAACAACACCAATAACAATCACTGGAACAAGAATAATAGCAAGGCGGCAAGACATCCAGAGAGGATAGCAAGAGCAGGGAATCGAAGAACAGAAAAAGGAAATAGCCACAGTGCTTGCAGTTCTTAGACCAGATGATAACAACACCTGTGCTGTGGCTTGAGAAAGGTCAATCATTTTACATGCCAGGTATTTCTGCCCATGGCCCCATACCATTAAAATTGATTAAACAGATTGAATTCTCTCTCTCTCTTTAATGACGACAACATCAATGGATTACATTCTCTGGTTCTTCATTGGCAAGCAAGCACAAGATCATACCTTCTCCACTTCACCTCGCAACGATGCCAGTTCAAGCTCATCCAGCTGCAGGTTCCTGACCTGCAACGTTCACAGCAATCCGATAATGATGTCACAAACGCCCAAACTTCCTTCTCGACAGCCAATTGCAAGCAGAAGCCTATTGCAAATGGAAACTTTCTTACTGACAGCCTCACTCATCCTCAAATGTATTGACAATGCAGTCCCTGAAACGCCTTTACAGAGAAGACGAAAGCAAACGGACACAAGGAGGGTTGCTCACTTGAAGACTAGAAGTGATAGAAATTTTAATAGCACGTTTTTGATCCTGTAGGAGGAGATCCTGTTGTATTTCAGCACCTACTTTGGTTCTCTTGTCACGATGGCCACCCTCCTGTAAATCCAAAAATCATAGACCAACCGCATAAGAAAATCCCGGAGGAAAAGGAGCCTAAAACCATTTTTATTTTTTTATTTTTTTCCCATGATTCCATCCATACATCCAAGAATTTCACCTCTGACAATGAAATATGAATGGCCCCAACCATGTCTAGCTTGATTTATGCATGTCATCCTTGCACAGGGGCCACATGCTAATCTTCTCTGTATTGTTCCAATTCTAATGGATGCCCCTGCAGAGGACTAAGACGACGGCAAGGCATGACGAGGAAAGGCAATAGATGACAAGACAAACTCGTTGCCTTCAATATAAACCACCCACCTCAGATTCACGTGAGGCGGTCTCCTTTGGCCTCCACAGCCATCTCAATGAGAGAAATGGGGGCAATCAAGAACAACCTCATTAAAATATAACCAAAAACGAAAATGAGAAAAAAAAAAAATCCCGGTATGAGTCGGCGCCAGTTCCCCTGGCATAACCGTGGAGAGGGTGCAACACATCCCCGATCACAGATTTGCAGTCCCATGATAGGGCAAGACCGCAGAGAATACCGTCTTCCCCCGAATAAAACGTACGGCCATTCTGCCTGTATTTGGCAGAACTTTCATTCCAGATGCGCTGAGAATGACAGTACACTCTATTCGGGTGAAGACGGTAGAAGTCATTTTATCCGCAGCGAGGACGTACCTTGCATCTAGCATAATGTGGACAACACATCCACACATAAAACTGAGCACATAAGAGACGGCATCCGCACAAAGAAAAAGACTGCACACACATTGAGTCCTTAGTTCTCCAAACTCCTTTTGCAGAGAGAACATGTACAATATTTTGTGAAAAGTTAGAAAAACTTTGTCACAGTGATGGCCACAAAAGCAATAATCACACAACTCTGGTAAAGATCAGGTGCTAACTTCTTCATGCATACCTCCAGCCTCAGAATGCCAGGCTTTATGATCAAGTGTGTCTTTAGCAGGCCTCTCTGTAGCATAAACATGGCCCCTGCCTTCTGCACTGCCGAAGCGGTCGTAGCTGGAGAACCTGAACCAAAACTGTCAGCTTGAGCTGATTTATCTGTGGCAACAGGTGGAGATGCAGCACTGGACCAATCCACGTTCAGCTGCTCATCAGGGCGACCTTTTGTGGTCATCTTCCCAGTCAAAAATACAGCCACGCATAAGAGGAAACAGAGAATAGCAGGCACAAAAAAAAAGAGATTAGAAAACTAGAAATCAACTGGTGAGATGTTAGAACTTAACAGGGTTAACCGACAAGGACAGAGTTACAATGGAGTTCTTGAAAGCATGGGTGGGGTAGTGCACTCTGAAAAGAGGAGGAATTAAAGTTGCCGTCTCAGGGTCCCTTGATCATAACGGAGGGGAAGCGTTGAGTGGGTATTTGATGCAAGGGATGTTGGACCCGGTTTCCAGCCCTTTTCTAATAAAAAAACAAGATTAGGAAACAAAAAAAGAAAGAAAAAAGAAACGTCGTAGTGAAAGATTGCTCATCAATAGGCGCATACTCACACTCAGATGTTTTCAACTGAGGGCATACTCACACTAGCCCGTACTTCTGCAAATTTTACGTACGTGAATTTGCGTTTATATGGCACCTGCGGGTCGCACTGCTCACCCGTTTTTTCCCAAAGCAGAAAGGGCAGGGTCGCGACCTGGCCTTGAGATGCGAAAATACGTTGTGCGCAGTCAGACAGCACAATGCACAGTGCACTTTAAATTATTTTTTTTTGCTTCCGGAAAGCAGTAGAGGAAAAAGAAATATGATTTTGCGGGGACCTCTGGAGGTCCCCGGAAAATATGTAAGCCCGCGGCTGTCCAGGCCGCTGACATTTACGTGCTCTTTTGTGTGAACACGCAAAATATGTGCCTATTGTGACCCGAAAAACTACATAAAATTTGCGATTTTGCGAAAATACGTGGTAGTGTGTGTGCCCTGAGTCAGGACACGAAAAAAAAAAAAAAAAAAACAGAGTCAGGACTCAGGACAGTTAGCCCAACATCGTCTTTTGTTTTTTTTTTCCCACCCTTTCTAAACTCTAAACCAAAAAAAAAAAAAAAAACAGGCCCTTTGGTCTCCGCTCTGCTTTATTCTTGGGAGCAACAGTCTGCTACATTTTCTCCCAGCAAGTCGGAAAGTGCTCCCTTGTTATGGACAGAGGGGTCCCCAAACATGAATCATTCCTCCAGGCTGGGAGGAATTGACTGTTCGAAATGCCCCACCAGATGGCCGGCCCAGCCTTGCTGGAAAAAAAAAAAAAAAAAAAAAAAAAAAAAAAAACACTGAACTGTTCCTCTCAGCCTGTAGCAGGCTGCCTGATTTCGTTGGCGAAACAAGAACAGAGTTATTTTTTTCCGGAAACCTTTACTGCCACCGAGGCCCGGGAACATCTCTTGTCAGCCTGGCAGCCCCGACAGGAGGATTGACTGTTCGAAATGCCCAGACAAATGTTCAACCCCTTCCCTAAGAGCGCTGCCCCTTACCAAAACACATACTGAGAATACCAAAACTGTTCTGTTCCTCTCGGCCTGTAGCGGGCTGCCAGCCCTAGGTAATTCATTGAACTGACCGGTCCTAGGTAATTCAGATCATAGTACTCTTTTCACCTTGATGGCATCTGGATTCGAACTTGGGTCTGTGTTTCATGGGTGTACCAACTGAGCTACTGTCATTGGTATGCAAGCCTGGGATGGGTTCATGCAGAATCAACAGACCTTTTTCGAAATTTTTCTGTGACCCTTTACTAACACCAAGACAAGGACAAGTCCCGGGTGTGCAAGCCTGGGATAGGTTCATGCAGGTTTTGGAGACTGAATACTTAACGGAATGGGTTATTATTCCTGTGTGGGGAGTAGTACCCGAGGTCCTAACCCTAGTGAGGGACGGCAGGACTCTTATTCCTGCCAAAATCAGCTAGGGGTTACTCTATTTAATATTTATGCTCTCATCACGAGTCTCATGTTGACTTTTTGAACTTTTTTCGATGTCGCCATACATTATGACATTTTTATTTTTGTTGCTGCATTCTACAAGACAAAACCCAGATGCTTGCTCTGAACGGGCCCAGCGCCCAAGGCCGAACAACGGCGAAAACATAATTTCGTATAATTTTCTGTTTTATCTACATAGCATTCTGTAGGTGTGCGTGGGGCGTAAGAATACATACTCAGGAGTACGTGTAATGTACACAGAAACCCACGTGCACACTCTTTTTTTTCCCCATTTTTAAGCGGTAGGGGTTCCGCGGGCATTGAACACCATTCCTCAGTGGGGTACGCCAAGAAACGGTGTTTATTTGCAGAGGGGGACACTGCAACACGCGATGACGAGGCCTGACCGAGGAACTATGTTTGTACTATGACGAGGCCTGACCGAGGAACTATGTTTGTACTCCCTCTAGCAGGCCCCGCCTGCCTTTCCTTTCCAAAAAACAAAAAAAACAAAAAAAACATAAAAAACATAAAAAAGTGTCAGAAAAAACAAAGATTTAAAAATACGTCTAACCTTGACCATAGAGAGTATCCGAACGTAGGGATGAGATGGGTGACAGGGATGGTTGGGATGGGATGGGTCTCAAGTACTATCAAGTACTATCAACCAGCCATAGGAGCTCAGCTCACGTTGCAGACCAAATGCAGAGAAAATGAGGCATATTCAAACCATTTGGCTTGCCTCTTCCTGTGTAGTTCTTTCTTTTCTTTCTTTCGTTTGTTTTTTTTGAAAAAAAAAATCACGGTTTGAGGCCACAAGGTCGTTATTGGGGCATCCTACAACTTTTGACCTTCCTCCAGATGTCCCTCTCCGTGGATTGTCTGTTTCGAGTCAGTGTGAGAGACACAAGTGGCAACAAAACAGTGTTCATGAAACAATAAGAGGCAAGGGCTGAGCACAGAAGCATTCATTTCCTAGTTGGAAACAATCACGACATACCTTACAGCCAGAAGAAGAAACGTGCAATTCACCATCAAGCTGTGGACCAAGAGATAGTTGGTTCAGCTTAAGGCCAGATATGACCACTTTGCCACTCATCCCTGGGAACACTTCCCTCCTTCTGATGCCAATTTTCACACCACCCCGGTCCAGACTGTCTCCATCATCATCCCCATCGAATGGCCCCTTGAGATTAACATCATCATCCGCCCTCGTTAATAACTTCCCACTTGTTGTTGGAACAGTCCAAAATGTTTCCACCTCTTTCGCTCGGGTTCCGCTTACCCCCCCTCCATCATCGTCACCTCTGGGAACTCTCCCACTGAATTTCACCTTTCCAGCAAGTTTGAGAAGAACCCCTTGGGGTGCAGGAAGGGGGGGCAGGGAAGACTTGCTTCGGGAGAGACCAAGCAAATCGAAACCTTTTAGCCGCAAGTCCATGTCAAGACCTTCAACCTGGGGCTTTGCTGCTGCAATGGCATCACCGAGTGTTTTCTCTTTCATTTCCTCGGAATTCAATGGGGGAACCGGATACGATGTGTGAATCTTTGCCATCAGATCAAAGGTGGATGACTGTGCCTTTATCATGATAGCCTCTCGTGATATGCTCACATCTCCACCAGCACCTGCCAGGGACCCAATTGCTTCTGGTGCATCCCACCTCACATCGATTGTTCTGCCACATCACACAGTTTTCATTGCTTGTGAGACAAGGTTATGATAGTCATCAGGATTTTAAAACACAAAGGCGACATAAGGTATGCCATATGGACACTGCCCATCAACGGACGAGGTGACGATCAATGAAACGAATTTGTGACATTTCACATTTGCCATTAAAGCTTTAATAGGCATTGCTGCCCCAAGGTTGAATTTAAAATTGCAAAGAGAACAACAAACCCTGAGATCCACTGGCCAAATACAAGTATAGGGAGAGGCGCCAGGGAGGTGGGTGAGCTGACGATGAGCAGCATAGAGGATAGCAGATCAAGAATGGGTACAGATCACAAACGAGGGAGAAAGGTCATGAATTGTGGATGGAGTAGAGCTAAGTTCAGGGAGCTAGTTGGAAATGCGAGATTGGCCAGCGGGGGTAGAGGTGAAGTGGGTAGATAATCCCTGCTAAGTCACCACACAATGCATGGAGAAGGCAGATCACTAGGGAAAAGGAGACAAAGGTGAGCTGCTGGAGAACAAACCCTTATGCCAACTATGGTGAGTTGTGCAATATGAATGGAGTAGCACCATAGCAATCGGTATCGCAGCTATACGATACTTGCTGGTTAGGTGCTCAAGCCGCCCTAACCCTAACCCTAACTCTGAGATGGTTACGGCAACTTAATCTCAGACTAGGGCGTGGTTAGGGTGGATTAGGGTACAAAGTTGCTTTGCTACTTCTCCAGCCCTAATTGAAAGAGGTGTTGGGTAATACACATCTCGGATTAGTGCTTGGAAGGAGGTATTGAGATGGGCGCCAGTGACTTCTAGATGGCCCCACCCTAATTCCAAGAGGCGTTGGGATGTAATCTACCCCGGGTTACAGTTGAGTTGGGGATTAGGGGAGTAGAAGAGGGGAGCAATGTGTCCGAGACAGGTTGTAAATTCTAGAAGGGTGTAAGGCACTCTTGCAAGAGGAGGACGTCCCGAAGTTCGAGCATGACCGAGGTGACTTTCTCTTCAGTTGGAGAGCAGGTGAGAAGCTACAGTGGCATCAAGGCTACTCAATATGGTCACTAATTGACGTCTATCTATCATCTTGATGGGCTATAGTTGAATTGCATAGAGATCGTCTAGGCTTAGTGCACTTCAGGGTCAGGACAGTCCAACTTAGGGGGTAAGGGAGTTAGTGCGGGTTACTGAGAGAAGGGGGAACCGCCACTTACCTCCAGAGTGAGCTAGCTGACTGAGGTAAGTGCCTGTTGAAATTTGGATGCCAGTGGGTGTATATAAGATCACCTATCTTAATTGCGTCAGGAAGAGGGCCGATCATAGCTGATCATTTCTTCCTGTTTTTTCTGCATTTCCCAGCTGGGAGTTCTTGCCTTTTGCAATCTGGACTAGCTCATCGTGCTCTAAGCATCAGTTTGGATTAAGAGGGGAGTGTGGGGAAGAGATCCTGTAAGGGGGATATACTGGTCTTCCCTCCGACTGGTGATGCTCGAGACACGGCGGGATCAAAACCAGTCATAGTGGACCTATCAGGTGGCATCCTGGATGGGGATCCAAGGTCACCTTGTGTGAAGTGACCTGAACTATTCGGCCTTGATCTCTGCAGTCCAGTACCTACTTACTTGATTCGCCGCTCCAATTTGCTGTTCCCTGATTTGATCCATCGATAACAGTAGGATGATTCCAGTCTGTGCTGGAAGGCAATCGATCAGCATTCGATTTTGGCATATTCTGGTTGGGCCGCACGCCGTGTTGTCCGTTATCCCATTCAGTCGAAATCAATTGCTGGTCCGGCTAAGAGTAGTCTACCTCCCCATTCTTTGAATGACCGGCAGAGGGGAAGGAGCGTAAATCGACGGACTTGGATATTTTGTGTGTGTTTAATGAACTTTAATGGGAGAAAACATTGCTGACCATTAACGTTCTAAGACCAAGGGAGGAGAGCAAAGACAGAGAAGGAACAGATAGCAACAACGAAAAGGGAAGAGGACGATGGTGCTGCAAGGGGCCTTGGGGATGCAGTTGAGCACCCGGCAACCCCAAGTGAAACAGGAGTAGATAGAAACTCTCGACCCCCTACAGGAGCACCTTAGCAAATTGCAGCAAGATCTGGCAGCGACTGAGAAAAAGCTAAGAGAGGAGAGAGAAAAGAAAGAGAGAAAGGCCAATAAGAAGACCTACTGGCAAGAGCTAGCGACCCTGGCTACGTTTGACGATGTAGAGCGAAAGACTTAGGGTCGTGCTCCTGTCTCTTATACACATCTAGATGTGTATAAGAGACAGATGTAGAGCGAAAGACTTAGGGTCGTGCTCCACTGGCTTACTTTTGGGAGCTTCGAAGCATTTCCTCCACTGCAAACAGGCATTTTTTGTTTTCTGTTTTTCGTTTTTCGTTTTTAAAACAGCTAGCGACCCTGGCTACGTTTGACGATGTAGAGCGAAAGACTTAGGGTCGTGCTCCACTGGCTTACTTTCGGGAGATTCGAAGCATTTCCTCCACCGCAAACAGGCATTTTTTGTTTTCTGTTTTTTGTTTTCCGTTTTTTGTTTTCCATTTTTTGATTTTTGTTTTTTGTTTTTTGTTTTTCGTTTTTCACGTCCATTCCCCTATTTCAGGTGTGGGCAGTTTCTCGTGGCCGAACATGTCCCACGCCACATTTCACTCTGCTTACTTTAAGAATGGGCTACCCTGGTCTCTCCCACCAAGAACTTCATGAAAGGGGCCACCGCGCCGGTGTCCAATTTCAATAGTCTGACTCTGTCGTGGCCCTGGGTTGATGGCACTGCTGCTACACCTTTTTCGTAGTAGTTAAGAAATCATTGGCCTGTGCGGCCTCACTGATTATTAACGATTTCCGTGTCATTCTAACTTCAAGAAAAGGAAAGTCCCCAAAGTAAGACAGTGGAGCAAGGCCCTTACCCAAATACGAAGTTGCGAGTCCTGGCTGCACACTTGATGCAATGCTACAGCCTCATAACAGATTTGCAGGCTGAGCTCAGGCAAAGGGAAGTGTACGAACAGTAGCAGATAATCTATCGACACACTTCCGTGTTTCGCTGTTACAGCCTAATTCTCTGTCCCTCCCTCCTCTGACACCATTATTCCTGCAGCATATGCTGCAGCTGGCATACCCATCAGTGGATACCTTTTGATTAGAGTATGCTGCCGACACCAGACGAATTCAATGACAAGCAAGACATTGTTGCTTGGCTGGCAGAGGTGAAATGATACTCTTAGAATCAACCGGGCACTGGCAGAGGATCAATCCCTACTGCTTTCCACTCTAGTCGAAACCCATGTCAACACATGTCTGAAGTCTAAGGCTGCAAAACGTGGGTAGCGTAAGGACAAGTACTCTGACTGGATTCAGACGAAACGTGCTACCATCATGGAAATGATGAAAGCACAGTGGGAGGATGTGTTTGCAGCCCGAAAGGCTTGCAAACGGATTCAACAACTAAGTCTGTCCACGTGTACAGGGCAGCATGCAAGAACTGTCCCAACGAGAAACGTCTAAGTCAGAAGCAGTGCAGGCTGCAGCCCCTTCAAATTTAGTTTGCCTGCTTCTATGCTGCCGTTTGAATGAGTTGAGAGCTTGAGAGCACGCTCTCAGACGTGCTCAACCCGCGGGCCATGAACTCAAAACTGTTCAAATGCATATCTCCCGGCTCAGTGCGAAAATTTGAATGCACAGAGCCTGGGGTTGCATGCCCTGCGGGTACCGGGGCGTGAACAGAAGAAAAACATAACTCTCTCTCTCTCTCTCTCTCTCTCTCTCTCTCTCTCTCTCTCTCTCTCTCTCTCTCTCTCTCTCTCTCTCTCTCTCTCTCTCTCTCTNCTCTCTCTCTCTCTCTCTCTCTCTCTCTCTCTCTCTCTCTCTCTCTCTCTCTCTCTCTCTCTCTCTCTCTCTCTCTCTCTCCCTCTCCCTCCCTCCCTTTTTGGGCTTCGCTCCTTTGCCTACACAATACGAGCACCAATTCGACTACACACAACACGAATCTGGACTATAGTCCCCCAGACTGACCTCAGATCAGTGAAATATTGGGAAGTATTCCGGAGATGAGATGCTCCACATACACATAGAATGTCGTCTAGTGGAGTGAGGCTCTCTCTCTCTCTCTCTCTCTCTCTCTCTCTCTCTCTCTCTCTCTCTCTCTCTCTCTCTCTCTCTCTCTCTCTCTCTCTCTCTCTCTCTCGTGAACATGGAGCTCCATGTCTTGTTTGTACCAAAAAGGAATAAGCAGCTCCAAAAGTGAATTGATTGCCGAGGACTAAACAGGATCACAGGATATGGGGCACAGGATCTTCACTGTTGGACTTGAGCTAGAGGCAGCAAAAGTAGAGGCCATCATCTCATAAGCCTCAACCTGCGAACGTACGTGATCTGAGGTCAGTCTTGGCTCTAGCATCTTACTATCGCAAATATGTTCCAAATTTCTCAGCAATAGCCTGCCAATTGAGTAGGATGACAAGCAAGAATGTGCCTTTTGCGCGCAATGACGGATGTGAGACCGCGTTTCAAAGAACAATTGGTGAGTTATCCTATCCGTCACTTCTTTTTTTTTTTTTTTTTGGCATTGGTGTTGTTCTACAACAAGATGATGCGACTGCACTGCGCCCGGTCGAGTGCATGTGTAGAAAGCTGAACTCCGGAAACGTCGCCAGCTCCATGTACGGACACAAATTATTTTTCCTTCAGGGAGCTTTGGAGTGTTGGTTTGCACTCCATCAAGACCAAACCTAAACTCAACACTATGCTAACTCAATGGCGCCAAGAAATCGATGAGTATGACTTTTAGTTGAAGCACAAGAAAGGTTGTTGCAAGCGTGTTGCTCATCTGTCTCGTCATTAGGAATATAGAAACTCCCATGCCAAGTCATTGGATATGTTTCCCAGCCTTTGCAAGTCCATATCGAAAGCAACCCCAAAGGACCCTGCTTTTGGGCCTATCTTCACGCAGTTGCTTTGGCTAATCTGGGTTGCCAGCCTGATTTCGGCATTCTGG